GCTACGCTTTTTACTACGGTTTTCTAAAGTTTTTTGTGAAAAAAGAGCAGAAGGCAACCCAGGTTTGCAACAGAAATATATGCCCGTTCCATTATTTCTTGAGGAAAGAGTGAGGCAACAGGCTGTGAAGTATCGAAAATGTCAAAATTCCTTGGACACACACACGAAATAATGGCAAATTTTTCTTGACGGATTTCTTGAGAGCTGCATACCAGCCTTATAGGCCTGTATGCAGTTCTCAAGAAAAGCAAAAACTCCATATAAAATGTCAAATTTCCTTAAGGCAGTACGCAGTTCTTAAGAAATTTACTACGCTTTCTACTACGGTTTTCTAAAGATTTTGTGAAAAAAGAGCAANAAAACTCCATATAAAATGACGTACAAGAAATGGCTAAGAAATTTTCTTGAGTCAAATTTCCTTAAGGCAGTACGCAGTTCTTAAGAAATTTGCTACGCTTTTTACTACGGTTTTCTAAAGTTTTTTGTGAAAAAAGAGCAGAAGGCAACCCAGGTTTGCAACAGAAATATATGCCCGTTCCATTATTTCTTGAGGAAAGAGTGAGGCAACAGGCTGTGAAGTATCGAAAATGTCAAAATTCCTTGGACACACACACGAAATAATGGCAAATTTTTCCTGACGGATTTCTTGAGAGCTGCATACCAGCCTTATATGAGGAAAATGTATGAACATGATGTCGATGGGGTATAAGTAATTTTTTCGCAACTTTTCATACCCTTCCTCCCGTGAACTGTTTATCCCTTTCTCCAGCCCGCGCTCGCACTTTCGCTACTGCGCGGGCAAACAAGTGCCCACGTCTGGTATACGTATACAGAAGCAAAGCAGCGAATTTCGATTCAGTCTGCTAGCAGGTTTCACCAAGATTATGTCACGCTCGGCTGTTGTTTGTTTTCCTTCGTAATTTTAGCACACGCTTGTCACATTTTGTGTAGGAAATTTACAAAAAATGCCCAAAGCAAAAGGTGCTGTGTTTTTCTAAAGGCCCGTCCACATACAACTTTGGCGTTGCGTTGGCGCTGGCGTCGCTTTGACAGCAGCGCGAGTAACGCCCGTGCTTGCTACAATGAACGCGTAGCAGAGAATACTTTGGTCACTAAATTAACACACTAGCGGCAGATAAATAAAAAATGTACATCAATAATTGCATTAAAAACTATATTTCTTGCCCGGATTTAATTA